AGTGAATTTTCTCACTGCGGGATCAATAAATTCTATTCTATTTTATTCAATTCTATTCAATGTCATAGACACCCCAGCTGTTATTCAACAAAAAGACAAAGAGCTGGACCTTGGGAGCTAATTTTGTCCCCTCAAAAATTCAGCAAACCCACCCTGACACCCTCCCCCCAAAACCCAAAAAGGTGACATTGCGTTGCCCCTTTGGTCCGTAGCTGGTGGCCTGTCAGATCAGTTTGATGTGAGTGAGTGGGAGTGGAGGCGGGAGGGCTGGAGAGTAACATGCAGTGACATTAGTTACCCCTGTCCATCTGGGTTGAAGATGCCAGACCCTGACAATGATTGATAGCTGATATTCATTTTTAGATCAGGAGAACAGGAATCGCCAGTGTCCTGTGAGTGGTGGTCAGATTTATGTGACTATCTTTTTATAGCTCACTTATGAAATAAGACGTAAACTTGGGGAAGGTTTCTGCCAGTGCTAAAGACCACAACAGCCACTATGTCTTTGTCCAACAAACATCACTAAGGCAGGCACCCAGTGACAGCTTTACTACGAATGTCATAGAATTATCCAGCCCACCTGATCTTTCAAACTAAAAGTGTGATATTGGAGAAGGCAAGCAGCATGTAAAAAAAATTTATTTCCAAGGTCCAGCCCACTTCCTTCAGACCCTCCCCTAGAGTCACCATGCAGTGCACCATGAATAACATCCAGGGCTTTCATTTATGTAGGCTTGCTTATGCAAAACGCAGGATCTGAAAGTTTCAAAAGTCACTTTCTACAAACTTTGTGATATACAGTATGGAAAACAATGTGAGAGGAAAACGTCACACCTTTAATAAAAACAGGCCCCCCTCCCAGTTCTAAATTGAGAATGAAACTGAGGGATAGCAGTAGCTCAGGTGGTATTGCGGGTTGTCCGGTAATCGAAGGGTTGTAGGTTCGATCCCGGCTTCCAACAGAGAATGCTGCTGTAGTGTCCTTGGGCAAGGCATTTAACCCACCTTACCTTCTTGTGGTAGTTGGAAGCACCCGTAGCGCCTGTGCTTGGCAGCCTTGCCTCTGTCATGCCCAGGGCAGCTGTGGCTACATTGTAGCTCATCCATACTAGGGAGTGAATTTGTGTGTGCATTTGTGAAAGACTGATTGTGTTGTAAAGTGCCTTGGGGGGTTCTAGGACTCTAGAAAGAGCTATATCAAATAAAGTCAATTTACTGTGTACACTATAAAAGAACTATAGAAACTACCCAATAAAATCAAAGTAACAATTTGCTTAGCTAATTTATATTCCATATGTTTGTTAATAGTTCCCTAAATTCAAAGTTCAGAAATACTTAAAGGAATTGGATAGAATCTAACTGACTGATGTGTTCATTATTAGTAAAGATTGCCTTATTTTCTAAGCTAGAGAATAATAAATTAATTGGAATTCTTTGCCAGGTGCTGGGATCGATTCTGCAACATTCTGGTCACTGAACAACTTCTGACTTATACCAGAGCCCAATATAACACTGGTATGAATACACATGTATTCCACCAAAAGCAATACAAAAACAGCATATTTCTGTTTTAAAAGTGCTTGTCACGTTATGGGAGGGATGTTGGAAACCAAATTGCATAAACCCAGGATGACACGAGGCAGGAGATGATGAAAACTAAATCTTTTATTTTAAGGTGAACCAAAAACCATGTAAATCCAAAGGGGTGAGGAGCTAAAATCCAAAAACGTTCACAATCCAAAAACTAGTGATCCAAAACTAGAGACGAGGAACTAGAGACTGACAGAATACTCACACTGACAGCAAACAATGGACCTCCCTGCTTATATAGACAGGGAGGAGCAATTAGGGAAACAGGAAGCAGGTGTGTGGAGTGAGGCTGGAGGGAAGGCAGGTGACCGCAATTATCTGGATGGGGAAGAGAACCAGTGGAGGGCAGATAAACCTAACACTATATAAAACACAAAACTAAACCTAAAGACTAAGGGAAGAACTCACACAAACACATACACATACTGACACACACAAACTCATACACACATACAATGAACTGGGGAACAAGAAGCTGTGGCTACAACTTAAGACACACAACAGAGATGCAGACAAAGGACTCATGAGGGTGCTAAGAGAACACAAAAGGAAATCCAGAGAGGGATGGAGAAGGATGGAGAGGATACCAGACGCACAAAACCAGAACAAGATAAAAACACAAACAAAAGACAAAGACAAAACAGGACACGAGAGACCACAGGGCGGGAGAGGAGGGCCCGGACAAAAAACAACCCACAAGGGTGGGCGAGGAGGGACCAGGGACCAGGGGACTCTGGGGGACCGGCGACAGGGAACCAGGAGGCAGGACCAGGGAAGTCTAGGGAGCTGGCGATGGGGAACCAGGAGGCGGGACCGGGCAAGTCTCGTGGGCCGGCGACGGGGAACCAGGAGGTGGGAACCGAGGAGTCGTGGGGGCCGGCGACGGGGAACCAGGAGGCGGGACCAGAGAAGTCTAGGGGGCCGAGGAAGGGTCTCTGGAGAAGGGATTGTGACTGGAACACTTGAGACTTGGGAGACCGGAACACTTGCGTCTGGGAGACTGGAACTCTCGTGACTAGGAGACCTGAGACTTGGGAGACTGGAAGACTTGTGGGGAGACTTGAGACTTGGGTGACTGAAAGATGTGTGGGGAGACTTGAGGCTTGGGAGACTGGAAGACGTGTGGGGAGACTTGAGGCTTGGGAGACTGGAAGACGTGTGGGGAGACTTGAGGCTTGGGAGACTGGAAGACGTGTGGGGAGACTGGAAGATTTGTGGGGAAACTTGATACTCGGGTGACTGGGAGACTTGTGACAGGAACACTTATGACAGGAACACATGTGACTGGGGTGACAGGGAGACTTGAGACTGGGGGACTTGGGACTGGGGGACTTGTGACAGGAACACTTATGACAGGAACACTTGTGACTGGGATGACAGGGAGACTTGAGACTGGAACACTTGTGACTGGGGGACTTGAGACTGGGGGACTTATGACAGGAACACTTGTGACTGGGGTGACAGGGAGACTTGTGACAGGAACACTTGTGAAAGGAACACTTGTGACAGGAACACTTGTGACCTGGGTGACAGGGAGACTTGAGACAGGGAGACTTGAGACTGGGGAGACCTGAGACTGGGGAGAGTGGAACACTTGAGGGAACTGGAACACTTGAGGGAACTGGGACACTTGAGGGAACTGGGATACTTGTGGAGACACTCGAGGGAACTGGGACACTTGAGGGGACACTTGAGGGAACTGGGACACTTGAGACTTGGGAGACTTGAGACGGGGACGTGGAGACTTGAGACGGGGACGTGGAGACTTGAGACGGGGACATCGAGACGTCCACTTCAGAGCAGGAGCTTGAGACGTCCACTTCAGGGCTCGAGACGGGAGGCGTCGACCTAGAGACGGGAGGCATTGACTTCTGGCCCGGGGGCGTCGACTTCTGGCCTGGGGGCGTCGACTTCTGGCCCGGGCGCGTCGACCCTCGACCCGGGGGCGCCGGACTGGGCGGAGCCTCTTAGACAGGCTGGACCAGGAGCGGAGCCTCGTGGACGGGCTGGAGCGGAGCCTCTTGGACGGGCTGGACCGGAGCCTCCTGGATGGGCTGGACCAGGGCCTCTTGGAAGGGCTGGACCGGAGCCTCTTGGAGGGGCTGGACCGGAGCCTCTTGGATGGGCTGGTCTGGATGCGATGCGTCCCCCGGGACCAACGCCGAAACAGGACGCGATGCGTCCTCCGGGACCTGACCGCCGAGACAGGATGCGATGCATCCTCCGGGACCACCGCCGAGACAGGATGCGATGCGTCCTCCGGGACCACCGCCGAGACAGGATACGATGCGTCCTCCGGGACCACCGCCGGAACAGGATGCCCAGCTCTGGCCTCAGACGACTGCTTGTGTCGGTTGTGGCGTCGTCGTCGGGTGGGAGACCTCTGAACCACCAGGGGAGTGGAGGCCGCTTCCTGCATGACTCCAGGACCTGAGCGCAGACCATGAAGCGAATCGACAGATCCCCC